ACTTCTAATTCGATTGTATTAATATGACTTCCTGAATCTTAAGATTTGATTTTTTTTTACACTCAAGTTTTCCTTATAGATGTATGTATTTTTTTTTTTTTTTTGTATATTAAAATAGGTAATTATTGTAATTTATCCATTATACTTCTTAAGTAAGAAGTATTAAAATACTTTAGCCATAGGCATTAATGATCTGTGATATTTAGAAAGTTTAAGATCTAATTTATTAAACCAAAATATGTCAACTGGCAATGGAATGAAATAATAGTATTTAATACGAAATGTTAAGTTAAACAGTATTACTATTCACTTCATCATATTGCCAGTTTTTATTTATAAGGCTTTATAGTGTTATTATGAAGAAATTGCTGTAATTTGTGCAATTATTCAAATGGTTTGATTATTTTTTTTATTGTAAATAGGTCAATTTTTAGTTCTGTTTAAAGAAAAAAAAAGTAATAAATATTTGTTACATTTGAATTTGTTTTCTTATTGAATTTTTATTTATTCTTTTGGTGTCTGAAAACAAAAAAAAAGTCTTATACCCTGATTTTGTTGTACAGACCTCTAACATTAAGAGGTAAGCGAGGTCTCTTACTTTATATAAGGAATTAAAATGAGCTAACATCTTTGACCCAATTCAGTTTTAATTTTAAGTTATTGGGATTAATACCTTACACAAATTTGACTGAGTTCAGAATTAACACTCTCATAGAATGACAAACGATAAATATGGCCATAAAATTAGAAATAGCTATGCAGCTCATTATTCACACATACAAAGAAGATGAAGCACAAATTAAGATTCATTATCCTCAAAGCACCTTTGTTCAGTACCTTCATATTTATTAATCAGTTTTACCCAAATTACTTTAAATCAATTACGCAACTGAAGATAATCATTAAATTATTATTGATCGAAATAATTAATTAGCTTCTGTTTTGCAGATACATTATTAAAATTTATAACAGTATAAAAAATAATCTTAAGTTATGAGTAACTAACAGAAATTGGGATAGAAGCGTCTCCATCCTCTGATTCACAGGATGGTGAACACTTATCTCTTACCATAGCGCCTGGTCCTCCAGATTGGAGGTTGGACACAGCCATTAATCCTATCCCGTAAAAAACAAAAGGAATAGAGATGTCTGCAAAAGGTTGCCTACCATCCTGATGAAGAGTATAATTTGTGATCACGTTTGGTTATTGCTTACGTTGGTTATAAACCATGTACTCTCTGGATATCTATATAAGAGAACCAAACAATCACAAATGACGCCTAGAACAGCCGTGTAGCTGCTAGAAGCCTAATGGTGGAGGTCAAATAAGTCAAAATTCATTAGATCCAAAAACTCTAGAAATTGTTATTAATAAAAATTTATTTGGAGAGGCTTCAAAGAGTAAATCCATTTTTGATATTTTTAATTTATAGCATCTTCCAGGTACATGCTTAAGCCCTCTAAGTATCTTATAAAACAAAATTATAAAATTCTGTATAAAAGATTAATCCATTACAACCCATAAAAGATCTATTTAGTACTTGGTATTATGCTTTTTCTAGGCTACTGGTTATTCAAGGAGGTAATTTTGTCAGAATCATGGGATCTGATAACTGATGTGGCAACTTATATCTCAGGTGATTCATGTGTTCCCTTTTGTCTCCAGAATCGTGGTCAACTGCCGGATTTTTTCATTAGTTAAGGACATAGATGGTCTTGTACTCACAATTACAGATACAGAATCCTGTTTGACAAGATTATTCATGAATAACAATAATATTTGTACTCTGTATTTGCATATGCTAAGAAATACCAATTACATTTGTATTTGATTAAACGATAAAAGTATTTCATTAAATTTTCAGATACAGATACAGTGCCGAATGCTGTTTCAAATTATCTATATTTACGATAGTTGGGCAAAAATGAGTTCAAATAAAATTTAAGAAACCAAAACTAGAGAGACAAATACAGAAGTTGATGTTTCACACGTATAAAAAAATCTAGTTTTCCAAGGACTTTCTATATTTCCGATTTACAGAGATTAGTTTTTAGAGAGTAAACGAGAAATGCATTCAGAAAGTGTAAAATATAAAAAAATTAGATTTTTTCTGTCATAGGAAAAATTCCCCTCTCCATGAAAGTAAGTATTCATTATCTCAAGACCTACAACCATGAATCGTAGGCCCTTTACCATTTGTCTAATTTTCCATAATATTAGAAACAAATAAATTATATCATCTTATTTCAGGAATAAATATTAGGCATGATTTGCTCACATCGGAAACCGAGGATAGCAAAGATTTATTGTACAAACTTGTAAAAAATATAATGATAATTTAAACGTTTATATTTAAGCGTTTATCTAAGTTTAATATAGATTTAAGGGAGCTAAATTTAACTTCTTTTTTTTTTCATGTCTCCAAAATTGTTATCATCACAGACAAGTACAGATACTGAAGTAATCTTGAATATGAGTTACTGAAGTATTCATGAAAACTGTGTACACAGTAGTATCTGTAGTCTGAAAATGCATGACGAGTACAACTACGGTATCTAACTTTTGAACACAATACGGCAGATTTTCGTCTAATGATCCCTTTTCCAACTCTCAGGAGTGATATATTTTGATAAATGAGTTATCAAATGAAAGGGAATTAAATGGAGCAGTGACTATAGTCACCATCTACCCGAAATTTCATGGAAAAAAAGTTATGAATCAAAAGAAACTTTATTTGTGAATTACTTTAAAAGTATACATTTTTTCTGGATCAGACCCATGTGTTTTTGGAAATTTATTAAATTCCCAACAAAACAAATATAGAATTACTATTTACAAAGATACAGGCTATACTATTGAACATATGTGTGGGATAATTAGTTTGAATGAACTAATGTGGTCCAACTTAGAAAAAGAAAATTATTTCTTCTCTCTCATAATACATATCATTAACTTATTTTTATATTATATTGTCAATTGTTCACTGACCAATATTCTACGTGAATTATTCGCACCAGCCAACTAGTTCGAATTAAATTTTATACTGATTTTGTATTTAAGATTACATTTTTCTCCAAGTACTGCTTAACTCTAATGAAGGATAACCAGCTTGGAATAAATAAATACTACCACAGGTGGACTCTAACCCAGGACTAGGTGGTAGGCACACAGCCATAGCCACTGAGCTACATTGCTTCCATTTGAATATTAATAGAAATAATTAATTAATAAAATTTGTAATGACAGCATTAGGCTTGTGTATTGTTTCTCAAAGGAATCCAAAACTTTCATCAGTGAATAGTGAGGAGCAAGAGTTAAGAATCTCACAATTTTTCACACCCTTCTATTTTTGTGAAGGATACTGCAGTTCATATATTAATTGTTTACATTATTATGAGAGTAATGGCGGTCAGAAGTAGTATAGTCATTATTATACTTATTCATTCATTAACTGAGCTGAGGTTCCTTAATCATTAAAAGTTTTAGGTTTGTCTGGAAAGTAAGTACAGAAATTTTTCAAAAATGCAGTGTTTCAACTGCCTCCCACAGTGCTACATCCTACGCCCTGAAGACGACCTGCAAAGTGGGTCGAAACGTCGGCAAAAATTAAAGTAATTAATATATTTTAATTTATTATTTATTTGACCGCACCCTCGACTAACTCCTCATATTATATCAACGGTCAACCATCTCTACATCATTAAAAATTACAATAGTTTAAAACTTATATAAATAAATTAAATATATTTACCACAATTGGCGATTACCCTTTCCCAATTTCTTAGAACTTCAATAATAATTTTTTCCCCGAAAATCACTGCAATTATATCCTAAGAATAATTGAAGGTCCAGATAGTCTTCATGTATAATATAGCATTTCGTTTGCGGGAAATTTCGCATGGAATAGGAAAGGTTCTATATCTATTCGATAGATTCACATTTATATCAATCTGAAGGAGAGATATCTGGTGGCTGAGGTAAAACCCCACACCCGAAGCTCAATAAATGGTGGCGAGTACTTAAAGAGAAATGGAGTTAAGTCTTGTAGTAATATTACACCTTTTCTAATAGTCAAATTTGGCCCTTTTTCTTGTATTGGCACCTTCAGTCGATCTAATTGGGAGCAGTAAACAACATTATTGATTTTTTTTAGTAAGAAATCATCACAAGATGAAATTCATTCCTCAAGATTTTTTTTCTATGCTCGTGGAAAATACAAACATCGTAACTAGAGGCAACCAAGCCTTCTTCAGATGGTCAAAAAACGGTTGATTTAAGAGAATTTAATTCCGCTGTTATCTCGCGGATAGTAATAGGTGGATTGTTTGTATCCACGGTCGTGATATCGTCGATATCCATTGCTAAGCTACGTCCGGCCAGGGAACGGTCTTCCAGATCGAAGTCCCTAGACCTTAATCGTGAAAACCACTTCAGAACGGTGATATCAGCAACTGGATCGTCACCCTGCCCAGTGTCACCTTATTTGTAGCTTAACACGCATTTTTCTTTTTAAAAAAATAAATCTTTAACTTTACTATTATTTATAGTTACATTGAAATATTTGACAATCAACCTATCGATAGAAGTGACAGAAAAACTCGTATGTCTACAAGTTTCACAAAAAACTATTCAACATATAAAGAAGATTAAAGACATGATAGTTATTTATACGCCAAAGGGACAACTATAGGACTAAACGAAAATAATATTTTAAACTAAGATCCACAGGAGTTCACATTGCCGATTGTTATTAACAAAAGAGTTTTTCTGATATAAAATGTTTTCTCGTTGTGCTGTCGAATTGTGTGTAGTATTTATTTACAAGGAGATCATGCTGGTTCAAATCCGGCCTGGAGGGGTTGAATTTAGTTCTTGGAGGACCCACAGAACGAATCTCGACCTTCCCACTCTGGTTAGAATAGGTTTGGTTGTATCTCTAGAACAACCCTTCCCATCTTTATGCCAGAAGTGATGAGATGGGTGATAACCGAAAAAAAAGTCTATTGAGATGGCCAATTAAGTCACTGGAATATAACCTGCAGGTTTCCAGACCCTAATGAGCTCTTTATTCATCTTGATGTTTGTTATATTTATTCCTCTATGGAAGTTTTGGAGAAGGTTATACACATGTCAGTTTGTTTTGATTGTTCTGTTTGACATAAACATAATTTCTAGGATTGCATATTTTCATAAATACATCATATAAAATCATTATTAGAAATTTAAAAATCGATTCTGCAACTAAAAAAAAATATTAGCGGTTATTCAGTTATGATGAATTTGTTGTTGCTTCATAATGCTCTTCTGTCTTTGAATATCATATAAGATACTTAGTTTATTTTATAACTATTTTGTTAAAATGTCTGATGAGGAGTTTGATTATATGTCAGATGTATTTCTTTTACAAAGGTGATGAATTTTTCATTTTTATTTTTCTTCTATTACTTTCTTAGATTTTTACAAATTTTATTTTATCTGGATCATTTTAGTGGAGAAAAAGATATTCGACCTGGTTTAATTCACAACCGATCTGTAAAGAGAAATGTAGAATTATCTAAGAAAAAAGAGAAAGCTCATCTAGTAAACAAAGAAAAATATAAACCAACCAAAGTAATTGAAAAAGAAAAGTTACAAGATGGTTTACAAACCCCCCTTTCTTCAGAGAATAAAGGTTTTGCCATGTTGCAAAAAATGGGGTTCAAACCAGGTTCTGGCTTGGGAAAATCAGGTATGTTTTTACTTATTATTTTGAAGTATTTTTTAACACTTTTGGCTTTATACAGTCTTCTTTTATTTCACGTATTACTCTTTCTGTCATTGGTCTGTATTTATAAAAAATTAAGGAATTTTTTATTGATTTCATTATAATTATGAATTAACTGAAGTGTGAATAATTGTTAAAAATTAAGTAGTATTAAAATTATTGAAGTGGTGTGGGGTAGCTCAGTGAGTAAGTTATTGTGCTCACATTCTCCTGGGTCTCGGTTCAGGTGCTGCTGTGGGAGGAAATTATTTATTCTGCTGAATCAGTGGATTGACCCTTCTTCGGCACATGCAGCCTTTCTAAAGTGGATACCGTTAATTGATGGAAAAACCAGGCAGTTGAGGATATTTAATGTTTACTGAGATGTTTTAACATTTTCATTTGCCAACAATAACATTTCATCAGTTTTATTTTTGTTTTTAGGTGAAGGAAGATCAGAACCAATTCCAGTTGACATAAAAACTGATAGAGTAGGATTAGGAGTGAAAGCTCATATTGCGGAAATTCGTGCAGCAAGGGCTAAGAAATTCAGGGAAGCTAAAGAATCTGCCCCTTCTTTTGAAGATTATCGAGCTAGAATCATTGAAGAAGCTAATGAAAGACGAGCAGGAATTGATTTATTCAGAAGTCAAAGGGTGTGCCATTCACTCGACACCAAAGATGTTTGTATTTATTCTTACTTTACAAAAGTATGCTGCTATCTAGTCTAATTCAATCAATTGGGAGTTACTGTAGTTATACTGAAATCAGTGAAAAATCTTTATGGAAGTAAATAGTAGAAAATTTGGTTACATAGGAGTATTTTATTATGAACTATTATGGGTTGTATTTAAAATATCACTTTGGAAAAATCATGTCTACTATGTTTCAATCTGATATTTAATATGGCTATCTTATAATGGGTGATAAATATTCAGGACGCAGTCATTATTAAGTTTCTTTTTTTAGGTATATACCTTCAATCATACTATGTTATGTTTATATAGATCAGTACGTCTAAAGTTTAGGCACGTCTTGCTTATGATCATTACTAGCCAGTAGTCACAATTTTGTAACTATAAGAAACAACGAAGCAAATCTTGTATACATCTTAAATAATTTAGTCAGAAAATTATTTGCATTCTACTAAGAGAAATGTTACCCACCTGTCCCCTCTGACTATATTTACCTACCTTTTGCTATCTGGGAAATCTTTCTCCGACCCTTTTACTTACCTACCAAAGAGACAGTACTTGAATACCTTCAGTGCTTGAAACACGGTTAGTAAGAGAAAATATTAGATGTTTAATAAATTGATTATATACATTATTTTTAGTTTGTGTAACTTTTTACATATTTCATTTGTCTTATTTCATATATCATCAATCACTATATTTTTATTATTAACCATTATCTGTCGTATAATACTATATCTCTGTTTGTACTAAAAATTTTCAGCCCTGTTGATGACTCACATGTTTGGGTTGAAACGTCGGCACTAATAAAAACTTTATAATGACTGCATCCTGAATATTTATCACCCATGATATGTAGAACAGACTACTATCTTCCTCCAATGGCTATCATATAGTATATTCTAAAATTTAGTCTAAACTAGTAGACATTTTGCACAATTTTTGTCTCTGAGACATGTCTCAGGTTGTCTATATCACAGATCTATAGCCTCCTGATCCTAATGGGAGACAGGATGCAACATTACACATATTGCGAAACATTTTGACAGTGTGGACGTCACTCGAGTCTAGAGATGAGACACATCCCATTCTGTCTCCAGGTACCGAGGTGCTGTTTATCCCTCCAACCATCAAAAGCAAATCTTCAAAAGCAGTTTAAGTCAGCTGGGTTTAATTCTGAAATCTCTTGGTGTCTTCCAGCCTAATTAATTCATTTAATTATGCATTACTGAACCTAGATCCTTCTGTGGGCACTTTGCGTGTCCATCAACGTCTACATTTTTGCATTCTTTCACTTGTAATTAGCACTAAGCAGGAATTCATTCCAATCAAAACAATGTTCTCCACAGTGAACTATGCAGATGAGACTGAGAAATTCACATCGTAGTGTGGTTGCTAGACGAGACAAAGAACAGTGTCTCGAGACCGTCTCTAGACAAATTGTGCAACATGGTCTACTAGTGTGTGCTAGGCCTAAGTTCTAATAGTAAACCACTGTTACATAAACAAAAGCAATGAAAGGATTAGGCACTGTCTGCTCCGATGGATAAAGCAATCATCTTTAAAGAGTTTTTGAAGTTTGTTAAATAAAGAGATGCTTAAAATTACCATAATTGTTCTATGTTTTGAAGGATATGAACATACTCTCAGAATTTATTTGAAACCATGTTAGATAAGTGCCATGTAGAATTAAAGCAATAAAAAATTCTTGACACTCATGAAATACTCAATTCTCATCTATAGCTTGACCCCAATTGATTATTAAGCTTTTGCAGCACTGCTAGTTGAATCCAACATTTTATATTTACTGACCATTCTGATGTTCCTTTTATCATGGCAAATCATGCAAGTTGTAATTACCTCTCATAGTTGGTAGGAGTTGACAAGAGAGAGATAGTGTCTTGATTTATCAAGAAAAGTGAGTCAATCCCTTTATTCTTCATCTCCAACTAGGAAGGCCATAGCCTCCGTTGCTGAGAAGCTTCCTTTACATTTAATTAAACTGATCAGTATGAAGATAGATTTCTCTACATAGATGTTTTATCAGAGCCATGTGTAACATTATAAATATTACATTTTTTTATCACTTTACTGTGTATATATTGCTAATGATTATTGTGTCAACAAATATTTGCATTTATTAATTCTTTTCTAGAATGTTATTTCTCCTTTAGAAGAATGGTTTTGGCCAGTTGATAAGTCTAAGACAGAAACTGATGAAGAGGAAGAGGAAGATGAAAATGAAAAGGACGAAGAAGTACCACTTACCGTAAGCTTTTATTATCATTCTTTTTCTAGAACTCTTTAGGATATCTCAGCACAAAAGAGACTTGCTTTAACATATTTTGTAATCATCATTTACTAATACGGGTATGTCACTGAATGTTTCTCTGCTCATTTTCAAATCGTAATTGTACTTGAGTTTCTCCAGTGATTAGCTTTGTTCTGAAGTAAGCTTGCAATTTATACATTTTCTTATAACTCACTCATATTATTATAAGTGTAAAAGTTATGAATATTCTGCTATATTGTTTTCATTTATATAATAATATTCATGATATCATTATAAATTTTGGAACTAATGGAATGGTATCTAATGAATATTGAATTAAAATACAACTTTAAAACAAAATGTAGAATAGCAAATCAAAAATTCTCATCATCATCATCATATTCCTGATCCCAATACCGCAGCGCAGTGTGGGCTATGTCTTGTAGAGCTTGGACCAGATTTCCCTTTCTTGAGCCATTCTCTTCTCCTACTCCAATCCATACCTCGCTTCCTGAACGTCTCTTGTACACTCTCTTCCCCATCTTAGCTTGTGCTCCTCTAGGATGGTTTCAGCCGGTTTGACCTCGAGGCTAGTCCGTACAGTGGCGTTCCGGACCCTATCTCTTCTGACCTTTCCCTCCACCTTCCGAAGGTATCGCATCTCCATGGCTTAAATTCGACTGAGCAAATCAAAAATTCTGCTAGAAAAAAACGAGAGTATGTTATTTTGAGTTTTTTTTTGTTCTCTCCTTTTAGGCTATACAGGGCTTTCCCAGACAAGGGATCAATGCCAGAGTCAAAAGCCTCCACAGCACAGGGTCTCAACCTCATAATTATTCTAGCAAATTAACATCCGTCAGGTTGCTGGGCACAATGCCCCAATTTGAGGAGTTTATGAACCGTTTAGCATATGCTTATTGTGGAGAAAATAGTAATGCATTAATAAAAATATTAATGCAATTTTAAATTACACTTATCTTCTAACTGTATGATTTTAATTAATATTTTTTTAGGTTCAAGATAAATTGGAGATGATCACAGTGTATTTAAGAAGAACTTATTTCTACTGTATTTGGTGTGGTACAAATTATGATGATGAAAAGGATTTACAAAACGAATGTCCTGGACCGACGCGAAGTGATCACTGACAAAAAAATGTGTGAATTAATAAATTATCATTTGACTGGAAAGACTTTCTACTAAGAATTAGAAAGAAAAGTTCACGCAACTAATATGTTATAAATAAATATTGTTTTAATAAACGTGACTTCTTAGAAGTTACAAAAATATTAAATATTTTTCATTTTTATACTGGTCCTTTCTTTAATTTTGTACTATTAAGAATTAATTTTTTATAAGAGGTTATAAAATTTTTTTTTATCTATATGAAGCAGTTAAGAGACGTATAAATTTAATATCTACAAGTAAAGTCTCAGTATTCATCGATAATGGCCATTTAGGGGTTTGTTTACCTCTTTTTTTTTAAATTTCTTTATTGAGTATTATAACAATCTGTCTGTTGGACATTGGTTATAGTGAGGTAGGATGACATTCACACCATATGTACAAAAAAATAAAATAAATAGAACAAAATAATAATCAAAAGTATATACAATAGACAATAAAATAAAATAACCTAAAAATAAGAAAATTAAAACTAAGGAAAAAAAAAAAAAAACACATGCATACCTATATACAATCAGGCGAGGGAACTCCAGGAGAACCCTGCGCAACTCTCCCAACCGCGTCACTGGTACTAAAGCCAGCGGAGATTGGTCGAGAGCACTTTAGCCACATACACACATGTCTTGAGTGAAGAATCTGGCCATTGCCAGAACTCCAATTTATATAATCTACAAAAGGTCGCGAGGCCACTGCCGTTTCAACCTTCTTGGAGGATTATAGGGATGGGAGATGCTTGATAGGGATTGTGCAAGAGGATTTGGGTGGTAAGTAAGGTTCTGGTGAAATTTGGAGAATTTTTCTGGGATAAGGTCTAGGACAAATGGGATGTTAAGGTCATGATGTAGGGTTTTGTTGGATACATAGAAAGGAGCATCGACTATTGTTCGAAGGACTTTAGACTGGAAGGATTGGATGCGCTTGATGTTAGAAAATTTTGCTGAGCCCCACAGTTCTAGTCCGTAAGTCCAAATAGGTTTCAGTATTGTCTTGTAGATCAGTAGCTTGTTTTCAATGGAAAGTTTAGATTTTCTGCTTAGTAGTCGGTATAGTTGGCCGTATCGTCGGTTGAGTTCTTGTCTTTTGAGTCTAGTATGCGGGTTCCAAGTTAGTCTTCGGTCTAAATGAAAGCCAAGATACCGGACTGTGTCTGAATAAGGAAGCTGGATGGAATTAAAGAGTACTGGTGGACAGGAATTGCGTCGGAGTGTAAAGGTAATATGTTGGCATTTAGATTCATTAACTTTAATGCGCCAGTTATTACACCAGTGCTCAATCAAGGTGAGGTGACTTTGGAGATTTAAGGATGCTATTTCGGGATCAGAGTTGGATGATAAGATTGCGGTGTCGTCAGCGAATGTTGCAAGAAAAGTATCGGGATGAACAGGGATGTCAGCAGTAAAGAGGATGTAAAGCACGGGTCCCAAGACGCTGCCTTGGGGAACACCGGCTTTAACGGAGTAGATATTGGAAAATTCTGTTCCACAGCGTACTCGAAAGGAGCGGTCAGAGAGGTAGGATCGGAGGACTAGGTACAAGGACTGAGGTAAATGGATTTTAAGCTTGGAGAGCAGTCCGGAGTGCCATACCCGGTCAAATGCCTGTGCAATGTCCAGAAAGGCACCCGAACAGTATTCCTTGTTTTCTAGGGCTGAGGAAATATGATCAACAACTCGGAGTCCTTGTTGAACAGTAGAATGTTGAGAGCGAAAACCAAACTGATGGGAAGGGATATTTTGGGATTCTATAATGGGTAGGATTCGTTTCAAAAGGATCTTTTCAAAAATTTTTGAAAGGATTGGGAGTAGGCTGATTGGTCTATAGGATGTTGAGCTATTGAGAGGTTTTCCTGGTTTTGGGAAAAGGATAATAGTGGAGTGTTTCCATAACAGAGGGAAGTGGGTGGTGCGTAGGATACAATTGTAGATATATGTAAGGAATATGACTGCTTTGGATGGAAGTTGTCGAAGGATTTGAGGTGTAAGGAGATCATGTCCAGGAGCTTTACGGGGGATTAGTTTTTTTAATTGAAATTTTACTTCGGAAGGATGAATAGCTTTTGGGGGCAAGGAAAGTGGGATTGGTGATGTAAGGAGTTCTTCTACTGTTACGGTGTGGGCAGGATGGGATTCCGGATGTGAAATAAATGTATTGGATAGGTGAATGGCGAACTCCTCAGCTTTATCTTCGTCAGATGCTGCCCAGGAGCCATCACCTCGTCGGAGAGGATGGGAAATGCGGTGAGGATTTAGGATTTTTGTTGTGGTTTTCCAAAGGGAATTGTCGCGAGAAGAGAGGGAGGATAGGTAGGAGTTGAAGGATTGTGATCTGAAGGTGGCTAATTCCAGTTTCAATTGTTTGCAGTAGTAATTATAGGAGCAGCGGTCGGTAGGATGTCGGGTACGTTGCCATAATAATCTGGCACGGCGTTTGGTGCGGATTAGGTTAAGGAGGTGTTGGGGTAGAATGGTCTTTATAGGAATTCTGGAGGAGTCTTTTGGGAAGGAGGCAGTCCAGGCGGCTTGTTGGATTGTGGTAGTAAAGGAATTTACGGCACTATCAAGGTCATCGGGAGTTTTGAGGGATATGTTGAGATCAATATTATCGGAGATTATTTGGCGGAAAAGGTCCCAGTTTACTGGGCCCCTAATGAATGACGGTGGAGAAGGTTTGGGAACAGGTTCAAGTGAAACATTAAGGATTAGAGGACTATGGTCAGAGGAAAGTTCATTTAGACGTGTAATGGAACAATTGAGGGGACTTAAGCCGCTGTGGATAAAGAAATCAAGAAGATCAGGATTACGGTTGGGATCTGTGGGCCAGTAGGTAGGAGAGTTGGGGGAAAGGAGGTGAAAACGTTGGGAATTGAGTACAGACAGCAGGGTTCGGCCACGAGAATTCGTGGTTCTGGAACCCCATTGTTGGTGCTTGGCATTTAGGTCTGCACCCAAGATGAAGTGATGTCCTAAGGAGTCGAGGAGAGAACTGAATTGGGCATTGGATATGGACCGGTTAGGAGGGCAATACGCTGATGCAAGAGTGACCGGAAAGGAGAAGGTTTTTATCACGATAGCGGTGGACTGTAGGAAATCATGTATTGGTAATGGGAGTACGTGATGGGAGAGGGATTGGTGTACAATTACAGCAGTACCGGCATGTGCTTTTCCGTCAGGGTGGTCAGTACGATATGTCAGGTATTGTGGTATATTGAAGTGCTGTTTAGTGGTTAGTCGAGTTTCAGTAATTAGTGCCACATCAATGTTCTTGTCAAGTAGTAAAGTAGATAGTTCGTCTGTATGATTTCTAACACCATTCGCATTCCAAAGGAGAATGGATACGGGTTTAGGGATGTGAGTCATTTAAGGATTTTTCAAAGGAGGGATGAGGTGAGATACGAGATTCGTGAGGAGTGATATGAGTGGAGTAACAAGGGATTTGAAATCGGTGAGGAAAGATGCTAACAAACTTGTGAGATCTGTTGCATTTGAAGGAGGAGGAATATGAGGAATTTGTTGTTGGTGGTTAGGTATATTAGGATGAAGAGGATTTTGAGGTTGTTGTTGTGGCAGGGCTTGACATTTATCGGTTAAAGTCTTACCTCTAAGTAGTTGGGAGAATGATACATCATTGTTTACAATTCTGGAAGGCTCTCTCTCTCTTCTTGTTCTTAGTGCTTCATCTTGAATCCGGTTTTTCTGGTGTCTGGTTTTGAGATTCTTGTAAATTTGGCAGCCTTTGTAGTTGGCCGGGTGTCCCTCCAAGCATAGGGCACATACTGCTGGATCTTGTATAGGTTTGGTGCACTCTACAGATTTGTGCTGTTCACCGCACTTCACGCAACGCAGCAGATGGTGGCAATATGTCTTCGTGTGGCCATAGGTCTGACAATTATGGCACTGCACGATGTCTCTCTTGGGATATGGCTTCTCAACTTTCACCATTGTGTAGTATATTCTTGTGATATCATATATTTTTTTCGATACCTGGTGATGGCTCCAAGTCCACGAAAAACAATGGTAGTGGGATCCTATTTCGTAATCCTGGCTGCTCCCTGTCTTCCTTCAAAACGTTTGTTACCTGGCGTACATTGAAACCAAGCGTCGTTAGTTCTTCTTTAATAACTTCAGTGGGGGTTGAGGAATGTAAATTTCTTATCACTACTCGTAAAGCTCTTTCCTGCCTCAGCTGGTAAGTGTGAAAATTCGCATTTGTTTCTGATAAGTACTTCACTATTTTTCGGTAGGCTTCTGCAGAATCAGGTGTTATTTTGGTGTCATTGGTCCTGTTAAGGCATGAATAACTGCCAGAGCAGATTTTATTTAGTTGGGTGCAGAACATCTGGAAATTTTTTATATTTTTCACAAATATCGGAGGAGGTTTTGGTTCTCTGGGTATTGCTGCAGACTCCATTACTTCTCTGTCATTTTGAAGCACTTGGTAGGGGTTTGGAGTAAAGAAAGGTGATTCTTCAATCGTTTCTTGTGCAGATGTACCTGGTTGGGGCTGAGGTTCTGGTTCTGAAGTGTTCATTTTGGTAACTGGAGGTATTTCTCGTAGGCAGCAACGAGTCCTTTGTTTGGCTGGTGAGCTAACTCCGTCTGACCGAGACCTCTTGGGCACCTTACTGGCCATCACTTGCTGATCATACCGCATATCATAAGAGAAAAATAAATAAAAAAAAAAATAAATAATTTTTTTTTTTTTTTTCTTAAAATAACAAAAAAAAAAAGATGCCAACAGTAAATATCAACTGCTCTGATATACACTTTAACTGTATCACGTGAATAATCAGAGAGATTCCGCTATAAAATTGGTAAAAACTGAGAGAGGAGTTGAGGAGACAACCTCATCAGCTGATCCACTGCCTTCTTCGTTTACCTCTAAGGAAAGAAGTTGACAGCTTTGAAAGTATTTACTCGAAACTGTAATTTTAGTAATTATTATTAATTCACAATAACGTCCATAGTCCTGTCATTTATCCAACAATAACAGCATTGTAATAATAATTAATAAAACAATACACTAAAAAAATAATAAAATGTTATAAATACATCATAAATAATTCTATAAGAATTTGAAATTGAGCAAAACTCAAAAATAGACAATCATTAAGATTTAATTGGCTTA